GGAAACGCTTCTTATGAACTCCCTTGACTCGCATTGTATTGAAATCCACCACTCCTGAAATCGCACTTACAGAGATTTGTGCAATTTCACCTTTCTGCTCTTCCATAACATCACCATCGTCATCAATGTTAATCTCGGTCTCCTCGTCTACTTCCAAGATATAAAGTTAGTATTTTTATGAACCTTGGAGTGGCCTGGTGTGTACTTCTCATCGCAATAGTAGCACAAACCTTTAGACCTTCTATCATTCATTTCTTCAGATGATAAGAACAATTTTGGTTGTTTTTCCTGTTCATTCCTTTGTTCATTCATCACTGGTTTGCGCCATTTGCTTTCCTGATCTCTTTGTGTCGGCAGTATACCTTTTCCAAACTTTGTTGAAGACCACGCAGAATCTGAAGCCTTAGGAGGGTGAGCTGTTTCATATAGCCTACCTAACACCAAAACATTGGCGCACTGTTTGAGGTTGAAACATCCTGACGTACATTTGAGTATTCGTTCTCAAACAAGCCAAATAATTGCTGACCAAATACTCCTCTGAAAGTTTTACTTTAGTACGGATCAGCTCAAATTTGTTATAATATTCAATGATTCCCTCTGTTTCTCTTAGCTTTTTAAGCTCTGCTATCGGATCATCCCAGACATCGTCAAATCTGTCCTTCAGCATCAATTTATAACCGTTCCAGTCTAGCAAATTCAGATTCTCTATCTCATCCTGAACCAAAGACTGATGCTAAGTTGCAGCTATATCATCCAAGTGGATCGATACTATTGCTACACGCATATCATTCGGAGTATGATCGATTGTAAAGAAATGTTCTACTTTAAAGAGTCAATCCTTTAACCTAGTGCCGTTGAATCTAGGAAAATCCAGTTAAGCTATCCTAGTGATTCCAGCATAGAGATTAGGGTTACCGGATCTCGAGTTTTGGCCTTGCTCGTTGGCATTAGTCGGATTTGACTGCACCGGAGCGGGGGAATTATCTCGTTGAACCGTCAATAGTCGAATAGCCTCGAACAAGTCCGTCGTCGCCTTAGCGATCGTCGCATTCTGCTCTGTCATGCGCGACTCTAATGTTTGTTGTCTCCCTATCATTTGCTCTAACCACAAATTCACGGAGTCATCGCTTTCGCCGCTAGCTGCTTGTGCTCGCGTTTCTACCGCCATTGATTCTGAGGTTCGTCTGACGTCTGATACTTTTGATACCAATAAACTGTAACTAAATTGAAAGCTTGTATTATTCTCAAATTGAATCCGATGTTCATAGAAAACAACGATCCAAGACAAACCTTAAGAATCCAAAATGGAAGAAAAGATCCTTAAGCGTATACAGAGAGAAACGAGAGGAGAAGATGATTGTTTGTTACAATAAGTTTCTGATGACAAATGATCTTTCTCTCTCTTCTTTCTTAATACTTCTTCTCGCACAGCTCCAAATGACCTGATCCGTCCTTTTCTTTTATTAATCCTCCACGTGTTCTTATGTACACACTGTATCATGATCTTCCTTATACTTGTCTCCCGTGTAGCTACATGGTCCATAAAACATGTATCTACTTACCTCATGTCATTAAGGTCACTCGTCATTCACACCGTCTCTCTTACTCTTCCTTCTTTTGTCCCGGTAAGATCTCATGTGGAGTGTGTTACCAATACGTTCACAACATCACAACAATTACGGGCAATACTCTTGCAATAATGGATGTCTTTATGTTATCCACTCAAAATGTGCAACGAGGGAGGACATTTGGGACGGGAAAGATCTTGAAGGAGTATGTGAAGAACCCGAAGAAGATATCAAGTCATTCGTAAAAATTGCTGAGGACAATATACATCATTTCACTCATGAACATTACCTAAAGCTCCACATGAATGGCAAAAATCTAAGCAAGTTTTTTCAGGCTTGCACACTTCCACTGTTGATTTCGGATAGTTTTTACAATTGTATGGAATATGATTTCGTCCTGCAGGAAGAATGTGCATCCTTGCCTCGTAAAAAAGACCATCTGCTACACAAACACCCGCTTGTCCTCCATAACCGACTTCCTCCTATATCCAAGTTCAACATTTTTTCTAATGATTAAAGTACGGACTTGTTCTTTTACGACGGTTGCTGCCGAGATGGTTGTGGCTTCGTGTACATATGCATTGAAAAAGATTGTAAGTTTCAACTCGACACAAGGTGCACTCCCTTTCTGACCTTTCAATCCATGGTTGCCATTTACCCGATCACTCACTTTACTTTAATAGGGTCTTTGATAATACATGCATGTGTTGTAAATCTCACATCTATTTAATATATGCTTTGGAATGTATGCAATGCAAGTATATTCTCTGCATCGCATGTGTTACTTTCCCTCATGTGGCACACTACAAGTTTAATAGACATCAACTCGTCCTTTGTTACGGCAAAAAAGAGACGAGAAATCATCAATATTGGTGTGAGATATGTAAATCAAAATTAGATGCAAGTACATGGTTCTACACGTGTGAATTTTGTAGAGTCACGCTTCATGTACGATGTTTACTGGGAGAAGAAATTTATATGAAGGCCAACCGAATCTTCACATGGAATGGTAAAGAGATTGAAACTGCTCTCAATGATGGTATCGGTCAACCATCGTGTGGTCACTGCACTATTCGATGCATAGAACCCTTGGAGCAACCTTATTGAAGATTCTTGCAAAGTTTCTTCTTGCAAAGTTTTTTAAAATATATTAAACAAATAAAAAATGATTATAATAATGAATGAGGTTTTTAAAATCACTCAAAGTCTCTTAAATGAGAAATTTTTAGTGAATTTCTTAAATTTTAAAAAACTCCATTCATTATTATAATTATTTATATTTATTTAATATATTTTAAGAAATTTTAAGAAATTTTTTAAGAACCGTCAATGGAGGTGGTCTTAGTGTTCAAAAGTTGAGATATTATTTTTGTACTCTCAAATATATAAAAAGTATCGAAGGTATATGACATGAGGAAAGAAAGAAGAAAAAAGGGGAGGACCAAGGAAGGGGGATCAAGACCCTAAACTTTATTGTGTATTAGTAGCAGATTTATTGTTTTCAAAACAATAGGACCAAAAATGTTAAGCAATGTTGTTCTTCCTTTACATTCATCGAAATATTGGTTTACTGGTTAAGGACTCATTCCTACAAAAATCAGAACCAGCTGGGTATTTCTGTCTGTTTTTCACTATGTTTTTACATCCCTGTTTGTTTCTTGATCTAGATGTTGTATCTAGATTCAGCATCTAGATACAATTTTCAGATGCAGCATTAGGATATTGTTCGTTTTTAAAACTAGGTTTTGCATTTGGATATAACATTTGGATGCAACATTATTTGTTTGTGTATTTATAAAAAAAATCTGAATGCAAAATATCTCAAATGACTAAAAGGGTATATTTTTTAATTTTTTTAATTTATTTATAATTAAAATAATTTATTTATGAAAATACAAATTAATAGTTTTAAAAAAAATAAAGTTTAACAAAAAATAGTTTTGACGAAAAATATAATTTTGGCGAGACAACTCATTTTTGCAATATTAACAAAAAATAATTTTAAGGTTTTGGTGGAAAAATACCAGTTTTCAGTTTTAGCGGGAAAATTTGGTTTTGCGGTTTCGACTGAAAACACAGTTTGGCAGAAAAACATGATTTTGGAGGATAAACTTGATTTTCCGGTCTTGACGTAAAAACATGATTTTGGTAGAAAACCTCAATTTTGCGGTTTTGACAGAAAACTCGATTTTGCTACTTTGGCAAAAAAAATCAATTTTTTTGGTTTTGGCGGAAAATTTTAATTTTCTAATTTGGCGGAAAAATTTTCAGTTTTGACGAAAAAACTTGATTTTATGATTTTGGTGGAAAAACTCGATTTTCTTGTTTTTGCGAGAAAACACAATTTTTTTGGTTTTGACGAAAAAACTCGATTTTACGGTTTTGGCGGAAAAACTCGATTTTTTGGTTTTGTTGGAAAAATTTGATTTTACGGTTTTGATGAAAAAACTCTATTTTATGGTTTTGGCGAGAAAACTCGATTTTTCAGTTTTGACGGAAAAACTTGATTTTATGGTTTCGACGAAAAATCTTGACTTTACGGTTTTGGTGGAAAAACTCGATTTTCCGGTTCTTGGCGGGAAAACTCGATTTTCTGGTTTTGGTGGGAAAACTTAGTTTTACGGTTTTGGTGAAAAATCGATTTTCCAGTTTTGACGGAAAAACTTGATTTTTCAGTTTTGACGGGAAAACTTGATTTTACGGTTTTTGAGGTTTTGACGGGATAACTCGATTTTCCGGTTTTGGCAGAAAAACTTGATTTTACAGTTTTGATGGAAAAACTCAATTTTCCAATTTTGGCAGAAAAAACTCGATTTTATGGTTTTAACAAAAAATCTCGATTTGACGAAAAAAGTTTTTTATTTGGTTTTAGCGGAAAACTTTATTTTGCAGTGTTGATAGACAAATTCGATATTACGGTTTTATCGAAAAAACTCAATTTTACTGATTTGGCGGAAAAACGATTTTTTAGTTTTATTTTACGATTTTGGCAAAAAGATAATAAATATAAATTTTGTTTCATTATTTATATCATATTAAGTGATATTTTGGTCTTCTAGTTTTTGAGATGCAAATGCAGCATCCACTCTACTTTTTTCAGCATCTCAAATATCCAGATTTTTGAGATATTTTTAATTTTGCATCCAGATATTGGATGCTGGTTTAAAAATGTTCAAACGAACAATAGTTGAATATTTGCATTCAGATACAGCATCTGCCTGCACCTAGATGCTGTAAAACTCTACTGAACAGTTTATAAAAAAATCTGGTTTAATAAATATGACACTATAACAGAAACAAAAAAACTACCAATCCCAAACTAAAGGTTTGGTTAAAAACAACAAAACAACTAAATTACGTATCCATAATCCTCGCGAGTACACCAACATTTAAAGATCAAACAGAACTTGCCTCTAATTCAAGTAGCATAGGCTATGTGCTTGCCAATACTTTCTTTAGAAGTTTCTCAGTTAACTTTTTGGGAAGACCCATCACGCTATCTGTTGTCCCAACCTGATAACAACAATACACCCTAATTCAACATTCATTCTCCAAAAATAAAAAGAGAAACCAAACAGTAAGATCAACTTGTTGCACGGTTTGTATGTTATCATCAGCATCTATGATGATGAAGGAATAAGACTCTAGACTCAAATAAGGCAAAGTAATCGAACCACTTTCTTAACGCATGGCAATATTAGAGGATGCTCGATTAGGAGTGCACCAGCCACCTTAAGCACCATGCCTTCTTCAATCTGTGGTCATCGGGAAAAGTCCTTAACTTTAGTAGAAGCAAAATTAATATGGAGAAAAATAATACATCTTAAAACTTGCACCAATCACTTCTCACCAGTTTATCAATAATCTCCTCTGATATTTCATTAAAATATATCTGTTAAGAAGTGAAATCATCAGCTTGAACAAATTGTAAAATCCAACCCTCTAATCAATAAAAATGTTACCTCCACTCTATCGACTCCTCCTTTACTGAATCCTGTTTTGAGATTTGTTACAACCACAGAACTCACTGTTGCTGTGTGTCCCTTGGAGTAGCCTGTGTTTCGAATTTAGACTTAAGCCATGAGTTGTATACTTAACAAGGAAGGTCCTGCGGGCTTACCTCTTATGTATTCCCTTGCTTCTTCCACACTCGAGGGTTTCTCTCTGACAGTATCTTCATAGACAACCACCTTCATAACCATTCAAATCATTAAATCCAAGTCTCTTATAGACTTTTTAATATCACCAAATTCCATTTATGTCCTTAGGATGACCCATCTTTCGTTTGTTATAACTACCAAACCAACTACCAATCCTAGCTCTTCAGACTCATTTCCCTAAATCGGTTTTTCTCTGACAACTAGCTACTTGAGAATTTCAAAGTAAAGTTTCCTCAAACAAAGAAATATTCAAATATAGATCAGTACTTGGTCACAAGTAACAAGTAAGGTCGGCTTATCCTCCTCTATGTTGTCATCATCAGTGATCCGCTGCACAATTGCTTCAGCCTGGGAAAACATTTCTCCAGCATATAAAAGTTTACGAAGAAGAAAATGTTCTTTGATGGCGCAAAATATAACTTAGAGAAAAAGACAGAGATGATAAAATCGCAAAGAGATAACACAAAATATAGCGAAACTAATAATGTGCCAAGATTGAACCAGATTGTAATCTTGCTTTAGTATATAAATAAAAAAATCCACATATCATGTAAGCAGAGCATATTCTCTACGAAGATGATAAACATGGAAAACCCAAGAAAATGAGTTCAAACTCTAGAATATCACACGGTGTAAGAAACAGAGGACACTAAAGAGATCAAATCCATACGACTAAATAAAGCTATTAAGAGTGTGACATCCTCAGAAACATAAAATGGAACTTGGTGATAGTGGATAGAGACTATCTACTAATTAAGTAAACCAAAATAAAATCTACATACTGTATCTGCTGCAATCAAGATTGTGTGTTCTTCCTCATCTTCACATTCATTAGTATGCAGTTTCGACACAATGGCATCAGCCTGTGATGCCGTTTATAAATAAATGATGGTAAACAAGAAACCAACATAAACATATAAAAAGAAAATCAATTGACAAAGCAAACAACATATCACTCGAAGAAACATGAACCATGCAATTTAGAAGATAGCAGAAGATGACATAGATAAGAATCCATAACCAGAGGTTACAAATATTTGCTTCTAAATTGATTAATCAAAGTACCTTTGCCTCAGCTAAAGCCAATACTAACTCTTCAGGTTTCTCCTTGCGGATGCTTTTCTCATCAATATCAGCACTCTAGATACAAAAGTGGAGTTTTCAAATGTCTCAAAGGAAGACGAAAATGGATTGAACTAGAGATTACCATGAGAGCGAATTGGTATCCCATGTCTGTTAATATCTTACGTCGAGCAATCGAAGAAGATCCCAAAATTAGCTGCGACGAAAAGTGATGAGAACGAAGAAGAATTAGCAGCAAACTACAGAACCCAGAATCTCAAGGAATTAGCTTCTAAACAAATTAACAAAGCACAAGCTAGACCACAAATTCCAGCATTCTGGAGGGTTCGTAAGAAAGAGAAATGGCAGAGAGCTCGAAATCTCGCACAGAATCGAATGCAGAAAACAGTTCAAGAGCCAAATACAGGAAGAAGTCGAATGAGAGATGCGGCAAAATCGAAAGCTAAGGGAGCGCCAAGTGGAAAAAGAAGCGGACCTTGAAGTGAGGACGATTCAATTCCATTTTCTTCTTCAGCTAGACGCGAACTTGAATATCGCTATCAATACCCAGTACTAATAACTTTCCAGAGCTTAAGATTCCATTTTCTTAGAGAAGTAACAAACTAGGCTAAAGATTTAAAACCGAACCAAACCGAGTTTTGGTCAATTTGATTATGATTCGGTTATAAACGAAAACTCAAACGAAAAGATAGTTAAATATGCGTTCGGTTCTCAGTTCTGTTTGGTTCACTAATCCATCTATTTTATATAAAAAGTGATAGCATAGTTTACTGAGGACGTCCTCATAAGACGAAGAAACTTGATCTAATTAGTTTATATTATCATTTTTTATTAATCACAAAATATTAAGTATGATTAAGCTGAAAAATTCAATATAACTGGTCTACATCAGCACTTTTCATTAAACATTAATATATTAAATTTGATTAAAATATTATAAAATTAATTTCTATCTTTTTAAAACATTAATTTCGTTTTGTATATGGAAAAATTAAAATAAAAACTTTAAGTAACAAATAAAAAAGAATTTAATATTAGAAAAGTAAAAATATAGTATCCTTCAAAATTAAATGGAAAGTTAATGTCAAAACATTTAACCTAACAAAAAAAAAAATAACTTAAAAGCTAAAACTTTTAATATAGATTAAGAAAATTTCTAACTTCTAAATTAATTGATAAAAAAAATAAAAAATATTAATTTTGTTTTATATATAGAAAAATCATAATAAAAAGCTTAAGTAACAAATAGAGAAGAAAATTATGTTAAAAAACTAAAATATTGTATCTTTCAAATTTAATGTCAAAAGAGTTAAACTAACAAAAACAAAATCAATATCTTAAAAGCAAATTAACTTAATATCTAAAACAAAGAAATTAACTTGAAAATTAATATAAAAGAAATTTATTAAAAAGGCATTCGTATAAAAGAAATTAACTTGATGTCTATGCTACATATTTTGAAAATCAATAACAAACGAGCTTAATAAAATAAAAATAAGTCCTAAATATATCAAGTATATAAAAAATGTATAAATAAAAATAAAATATAAAATTACTATCAAAAGATGTAAAGTATAAAAAAAAAATTATTAAAATGAAATTAATTTGAAATTAGAGAGTGCATATGGAGACCATGAGAATAATATGGAAATATGGAGAGACGGAGGAAGAAAAATATTGTAGTAGGTGGCTCAAGGTCTATGGAAACAATAAAGAAATTACGCGCTAAATAAGGCTTACAAGTTTCTAATAATAGTTTGCTATTGTGAAGATAATATTAATTATATTATTTTATCCCGGTAGTAAATCGGTTGATAATATACAATGACAAATTATTTATTCATGTTATAATTTTATATTTTATCCAGATAAATATTTGTATAACAATTAAATCAGCATTTTATACCAAGTTCAAAAAAATGGATTTGAATGATATAAAAATAAAATATAATTTATCATGTTGAAAGAAAAGTTATAATTTTTGAAACATAAATTATAACATTTACAAAATTTATAAATATTTATGATTATGTTTAGGTTTTTTTCGACAAAAATGTTGAAACAACTACTCATTATTTGACATGGTAAGTACACTCTCATGCATATACCTGCTATACTTTAATTCTCTGTTGTGAATTTTTTAAATATCAAACCAAACTGTTTTAAGGCTATTATGTTATGATGAGAAATTAAACATGTTTTTATAAAATGTTTTTTAGCTTTCAATATATTATAAATTTATAATTTTTTCTTTGTTAAATTTATAACATTTTTTATAACATTTTTATAAATATTTATGTTTATGAGCTTTCAACATGTTATAATTTACTAACTTGATCTTTCGGCTAACATTTTTAATAATCAACACAAAAAAAAAACTTAACCAAAAAAATGATGCTATAAGATTTTGAAAAAAGTTCATAAAAATAAATAAATTGAACAGTTAAAACATGTTAAATGAACATTATAACTAAAATGAAATTAATAAAAAAATAAATTTAACAAAGAAAAAACATTCGTATAGAAGAAATTAACTTAATGTCTATGTTACCTATTTTTTTTAGAAACAACAAAAGAGCTTAGTAAAAACAAATATAAGTCATAAGTATATCAAACATATAAAAATAAATTATATAAATAAAAATATAATATAAAATTACTATCAAAATATGTAAAGTATATAAACAATTATAACAAAATTAATTTGAAATTTTTTCAAAAAAAATTATAATTTAACAATAAATATCTATCTAAAGTTGCAATAGGTTTACAGAAATAAAATATACAATAATACGCTGGATGTTTCAGATTTCAAAATCTAACAAAGATAAACACAACATAAATAATGAGAGAGAGAAGCAACATAATATATTACAAAACTTAAAAAAATGCAGTGGCATCAACAATGATCAGGATGTGGTACCTTTTAACTTTGGTGGGAGGAGTAGTGAGATGATCCAGATGTCTGTGGAGACTTGCTAGCTCTCCTCTTGTTCCTCTTCTCATAGCTTTGTGAAGATGTTGCTGCTTCTTGAGGTGGAAGAACCCAGCTTGACCATAGCTTTTGAGCTTGAGATGAGTCACCTTGAGTGTCCCATTGCCATGTTGATGAACCTCAGAAGGGGGGTAGGCCGGCGCCTCCCATGCTGATGGTATATGGGATCTTGGCTCATAAGATGAAGCTCTTGGTTGTTCCCATGTTTCCCACGGATCGCTTGGTGGCACTTGAAAGGAGTGTCTCCCTTGGGGATTCCAAACAGCTTCCTCTTCTTCAGTAGGTTCTGCTGGTGGTATTGGCTCTTCATGGTGAGAAGTGTACTCATGAGTATGGGCTTGATGGGAAGCTCCTCCTGATGTAGCTTTGTCCTTCTTGAACTTCCCCTTGACCATCTTCACCAGCTTCTTGATGGCTTTGTCTTGCCACTTACACCATTTCTAAAGTTTGTTGATATGCTCATAAGCAAACTTCAGAGGGCTCCCTTGGCTTGGGACTTCATAAGGCTTAAAGTGGAACTGCTCAGAGTTGTAGTTCAGCACCTCATCTTCATCAAGCTCTTCTTCTTGGGGTTCTCCTTGGCTTTCAGCGCCAGCAGTAGCATCTCCTTATACCTCTTCTTCATTGTTTTCTCCACTCTCTTCTTGTTCAATCTCCTCACTATCTTCTCTTCTCTCTTCGGGGACAGGGACTCCATGGTAAAGCTGACTCTCATCCTTGCAGAAACCAATGTTGCTCCTTATGGTGATGGATGTATGCTGTGTGTATCAGAGGAGAAATCTCGCTGGTTCTCCGAAGTCTTTGAGAAAGTTGTAGACATGCTTCCCTTTAATGCTTTTTTCAAGGAAGTGGCTTTTCCTAAGATAGTCTATATCTATCCACAATGGCTCCAAAGCATCTTCTTCATATTCCTCAATGTTTACACCACTTTCCATCAGAACAGCTGTCACAACTCCTCCAATGTTGAGCTGTGGGTTCCCTTCCCTTTTTCCTTTGTTTAAGATCCAGCTCCTATAAGACTGTAGCTGCTCCATCAGCATGGTCACATAGCATGGGTATCTGCTTGGCGGCTCTAGAGGTCTTCCATCATTGCTGGTAACCACAAGTTCATGCATTCCTTTGTATATGAAGTCTCTCTCCTTTCCTGTGAGGTTTGGTGTTTCCTTTCTTGCAAAAAATGTGTTTGCAAGAGCCTTGTGAGCATATCTCACAGCAGGATGCTTCAGATGATGATTCTTTATGGTGCCAGCAATGAATGGGCCAGCTCCAATCACGCCCCATAGCATGATGTGCTGCTTTAGGGGGATCACGAATTTGTTCCTCTTGTGAGCATAAGACATCAGACCAAGCGCTTGAGAGATCTCAAAGAAGGTTGTTGTGAATCTTTGCTTCCCAAGCTTGAAAGAGATCCACCCATCTCCATTGGAAAGCTCACTCTCTTTATAGCCAACCACCTTGAGAGTGGAGAGGAACTGATAAGTGAGCTGTAGGTAGGAGGGGAGCGGTTTTTCCATGAAGTCACCAAGTTCCATGTGCTCAAATATTGTCTTGCAATCCATATAGATCTCAAGCGCCTTCATTGTGGAGGTGCAGGGGTATCTTGAAGGCTTGAAAGTGCATTGGTTGAAGGCCTTCATGAGCTCTCTAGCACTTGGCTCCTTGTATGGGACCTCTTCTTCTACAGCCTTGCCCTTTCCTTTTTGCTTGGCAGCTTTGTCCCCAACAGGCTTCTTTCCAGCAGCTTTTGATGACTGCCCAGCAGCAGCACCCTTGCCCTTATCTCTTTTAGTTCTTGGAGAAGTAGGCGCTTCTGCTTGTAGTGCTTTCCCTTTGCTTCCAGCAGCAGTTCTTGTTTTCTCCATGGTACCTACAAGAACAAAGCTTGAAGATGCTATGAATAAAAGAACAACAGTTGAGAAACTAATGACTAAAAGCCTTAAAAGGACCTCTCTAAGCTAAAAGAAGTTTAACTAGTCCTGAAACAGGATTAACTTTCAAAGAACCAAGAGAAATCACAGGCCAACAGTCATAACATGCTAGAGTTCATAAATAGATTCAAACTTTCATGCATGTGAACCTAGCATGGTGGCTCTAAGAAAAAGTGAAGATGATTATGCAAAGTGAGATTAAAACAAGCAAGAAATAAGATTTATGAACAGTAAACAATACTTAAACATCTTACTTGCTTAAATTAATCATTTCCACCATGCAAAATCAAAGCAAAACACCTTAAACTAAACAAA